ATCGGATAAACTAAATTGTAATATAAAGAGACATTTTTCAAACTGAGTTTGGGGGAAGTGTAGCAGATAAAGTACTTGATGCTAAGAGGTGCTGAACACCTGAAACTCACTGACTTCATGGGAGCTGCAGGCTCCCAAGCCCCCCCCCGCCCCTTAGTATTAGGCCTCTAAGTTTGGTGTTCGAAGTTGTATGTTTTTAATATTTGTTTTGATGACTGCAAATATAGAGTCATGTTTTATTACATACCAACTATTAAATACTAAGTGATCCATGTGACTTTAATCAAAGCCTAATCCAATAACAATTACCACTTATTATAGCAAAGAATCTCACAATGTGTATCTTAATTTTCTTCTGGCCCTTGTCTATACATGTTAACAGCACAGCAGGTAGAAGCGGGTGTCTGCTGTACCTAGTACATTGATCTGCTGATGCTGCTTGTTGCATTTTGGTAATTTTTTGGGGATGTAGTTAAGAAGAAATCTGAGACTCTTAAATCTTGCATTAAGCCAGCCTTGCAAATCTTTTATGCAAACTTGCCAACACAGGCACAAAATCTACATCCCTCACCCTCTTCCCTCCATGATGGGGGGAAAAAAAGTGTAACCTTTCAAAATCAGTTACTTGCTGTAGGTGAGTAAAACTTTGGAAGGCTGTGCTGTACATACTCTAAGAATTACTCCGAAAAACTCCTTTGCCATCACAACTACAAAACAAACACAAAAGCAGTTGGTGTGCTGAGACTACATGCCTGTCATGCAAATCAATATTGTCTCATTGTTTCCTTGTACTCCACCACCTGGAGGTAGCCATGGCTGTCTCTTGTGTTATATTTAGATTGTAAGTCCTTTTGTTCTGTGTGTGTTCAGTGCCTAGCACAAAGGTGTCCTGGTCCATAACTGGGATTCCTAGGTGCTATGATAATAAGTATTTATATGAGAGACAAGGTGGGTGAGGTAATATCTTTTATTGAACCAACTTCTGTTGGTGAGAGAGACGAGCTTTCAAGCCACACAGAGCTCTTCTTAAGGTCTGGGAAAGCAACTCCCAGCCAAAGCAAAATGCAAGGTGGAACAGATTGTTTAGCTTAAGTAGTTAGCATAGGAGTTAGTTGGTCCAATAAAACACATTACCTCACCCACCTTGTCTCTAATATCCTGGAACCGACACAGCTACATGCATATAAGTATTTATATGGTCCACATCATCCCCATTCTTCTGCTCATGATATATCCTGTGACCTCAATAGTTCCACTCTCCTTGGAGTTGACTTTGCTTGACATCAGGATTAATTTATTCCTAAACTGTACTGAAGCAGATCAGACTTGGAGTTGAAATAATTGCAATACCATGCATAGACTTTCCCTTCTTTCACTCCTATTATATTTCCCCCACCCAGGACCACCTCAGCCATTACTACTTGTGCCTGCCGAAGTCAGTCAGTATGGTTAGACCAAATCACCTAATGTGAGGAGTTTAAATCCTCAAGACAGCTGTACAGTGAAAAGTCCAGCTCTTCAGTGATTAGCTGAAAAAGGGGAAGTCAACTGTTTTTTCAGAGTGGTGCTAAAATGCATGTGAGGCAGAAGTGCAGGGGAACAGTGTAAGATCTATTCATGTGAATCTAGAATTAAGGATTCTAGAGAAATTAGCAACAGTGTTAGGGTAATGTACAGCCCCCCACCCAATGGAACTGGTGCCTTTGTACTACACAGGTTAGGGTTAGAAGGCAGATTTTTCTGGAGCCTAGGCAGTAGGTCTGTATTCTCTGGGTGCTATGGAGCCTAGCTATATGAATCTACTGGATGGATGTCCCCTATGAAGCAGAAGGAGAACAGCAACAGGGGCTACTGTGACTGCAAGGTTGGCTCTTCCATCACTCCCTAGCCTACAGGGAAGAGCCCTACCTTCTGAAATGCAGCTCCCTTTGAACCAAGTAAGGCTAAAATTGGTGCAGAAGGGCGGGTGGTCTTGTGATTAGGGAACAGAACTGGGAATTGTTACTTCCTGGGTGACTGAACAAGTACTTTAACCTCTCTGTGCCAACATTTGCTCCTGTAAATGTAAAATACAGCATTTTCCTTACATGGTACTATAATATTTTCAAATCTGCTGTGCTCTACATGCAAAATAGCATTAGTTGGGGGAGGCACTTGATACTGAAGTTCTCTTCGGCAGGAATAATCTCTTTAAGGTTTATCTGTTGCACCTGTAACTGTCCAGGTGGGTTTCCTCAGGACTTTGCTCAAATGGAGCAGTGAGAAAGGAGCCCCCATCTGATGACATCCACCCAGCTGCCTTTACTTTACAGAGAGATTTTAAGATGAGAAATTTAAACTTTTAACATAAGGAAACAATATAAACAACCAAAATACAATATACATTTAGTTTTTCTTTCACTAATTCAAAACAAGTTTCAAGTTGAAGCATTGCGAGCATTTTTTCCTGTGGACCATGGGCTATACAGCAGCCTTGGAACTTGTCTGTCAGTGCAATTGGTGTGTGGAATTTTCATTATGGAAATTATGTGATTGTAGGAAAACCATTTCACCCAATGCCTTTCATGCTGCTCTACTGTACTGATTTCAGAGTCCATCTGCAATTCTTGTCAATAGGACTACAAGCTATAGGAACTTCTGACACAATGTAAAATACTAGCATTTCCAACACATTTACAAGTGTAAAAGGTCCATTTTATTACACTTTTCATAAATGAGCCTGACTCTGACTTCTGATATAGGTACTGAGATGTTTCAGTGATGACTCAGAGAATAAAGGAAAAAAACATTTTATTTCAAACACTGGATTAAATTCCTTCATGTCTAGCTCATTCGGGTAAAGCTCTTTCAATCTTTACCTTGCCACTTGAAGTCTGCTGTCCGTAGTGGTGGTTGCATTGCGTACACTCAGCTGCAAGGACAGAAATGTTTGGGAGAGCAGAGAACTGTTGCAAAGAACTGGCAAGATTGTCAAGAAGGGGAAATGATACTAGATAAAAAACCTGTGTGCATCAGACAGAGCTGTGTTAACAATATAATACACATGAAGCATGATCTGACCATCCTTATTTTGGTAAAACTAACATGGGAATAAAGTAAGGGTGGCGGGCTAAGACCTACAGGAGTTTGTGCTTCTCCATAGCTATTCATACAGCTCCTTAAAGGCAAAACTGAAAAACAACACTAAAAGATGAGGTTGCAAGCAAAACATTTTTAAAGCTACAGGTCTTGATTTTCTTTTACATATGGAGACATAAGTGTCTCAGACATTATTAGCTCTTTGGATTTAAAGTGCAGGTGAGCTCGACAAAGTGACCATGTAAAAATGGCACATTCTTATTCAACAGACCTGCTCCCTATGTGTATTCAGAGTCAAACTTGCTGATGTTAATGTCAGAATATCAATTGGACTGTTAGCCCTATAGAGGCCATACAACTGAAGAGAAAGGGAGCTGGAATCTTGAGCTTAATCAGCAGAATTTGTTAATTTACTCTCCATCAATTGAGGGTATAATACTGCACAGGTGTTATCAAGGGCTTAGAAGACACTGGGCAATTTGTACTGTAAAACTTTTATCAGTGATAGGGCGGGTGGGGGACAAGAGCTAGAGAGAGACCAACTTAATTTTCCAGAGCTAAGACTGAGTTTGCAGGTCTAGCAGGTAGAAAAACCACCTTTTAGCCCATGAGCCCATAAGTTCAGCTCTCTTCAGTGCAGCATTTAATCATAGTTAAGTGCTGTGCTAAATCAGAGTCTTAACTTGAAGACTGAGCACATTTGACATGGAATCGATGGGATAAAATTAACAAAGCATCCCATAAGGCAGTTTTCACAGAGGGCACCCTTGGCACTGATTCAGGAAAGCACGTCAGAATAGCATGTGCTCCGGTGCTTCCCAGAATTAGGGCCTTTTAGCAGTAGCAATGAAGGTTGACTGGGAAGGAGCTGCCCATTTCTTGAGATGTTAACGCCGGCCACAGGTTATTCTTCCAGCAATGCCCGTTGCTGAAATTGTCATTACTATGATAAGGTGAATGTTTCAAAATACTCTGGAATGACTGTTTTTGGTTTTGCTATGTGTTTTCTCTCTGCAATGCCTCTGCCTGTCCTCATGTTTGACTATTTTTTTGCAGCATTAACGCTGGGCTGGTTTGTTAGTCAGGAAGGTTGTTGCTCAATGTTCTGTTTAGTTTTTAGAATGGACCTGTAATCACTCCTTAATCCTGTCATGTGTACCGGAGTCTCATTAATACTACATGGGTAAATACTGCATATGTGTTCAAACTCCTTTGAATTCCTTCAAGCTCTTTGCTATCCTGCAGCATTGGTTAGTTAACATTTGTAAAGTACTTTGAAGACGCAAAGCACTGACTGCTAAAATACTAAAAGTGGTAAAGATGTGTTGAACATCGTATCGCCTTAACTTCAGTTATGAATGAGAGCTCCTCATCCTTGTGCCTCTGCTGGAGCTAAATCTTTCCCAGTGTATCATTTTATTTTGCCTATATTACTGCAACTGAGAAATGTCTGAGTGAAATCCTGGCTCCACTGAATTCATTGGGAGTTTTGCCCCAACAAAACTTTATCTTGACCTGATCAGGTGCTGCCTTTGAGTGCCACCTTTCATTAGCACTGGGTTTTATGGATTTGTGCTGCCCGTCACAAGAGTCTCATGGTTTGTTTGCCTCCACCTCAACCCAAAACACTGTACTGTTCGTTCTCATGGTAAGTGAACAAAACAAAGTTAGTGAGAAATCCACAATATAAAGACAACTTTATTGCCAATAAGCTCTTAAAACTCTTTTTTTCCTGTTTCAGTAGGACCTTATTCTTCCTGATGAAAATCCGGTCATAACATCTCTCATTAAAAATAAAATTATTTTGAAATAAATAAATATATAAAATAAATATCATATACATTTTATAAATAGTTTTGTCCTTATGCACAGTATCCATGCTTACATCTTAATAATGTTTCCCACCCTCACTCCCACCCTCAACAGCAGGAAAAAAAACACACATCAAGACCAGTCCATAATAATCCATGTTGCAAATTCCAGGGCCACTTCAGCAGGGTACCATTTGAAGGGCATCTTCTTAAAACGTAACCATTCCAAGCTTACCAGCAGCATCTGTATCAGTTCTGTGGTCTTTTTTTTTCCTGTAATCAAGTTGTTGTGGGTTGTTTGATTTTTTTGTTTTGAATCATCATTGTATGTGAACATTCCACCTCTTTCATAACCTCCAGGTAAAGACAGTGAATGAAAATGAACGATTATACGGAGGGCTCCCTCCCCATACCCTATACCCCACCCCCACAAATAACCCAGCTTTGATATACACTTTAAAAAATGAGGAACGGCAGTGTTGAATTCAAGGTAAGTGCTTTTCTATGTTATCTAAGTTTATAGGAATGATGGAATGACTATTAATATAGTGCTCCAGGAAAAAGCTTGGAACCCAAGTATGTACATTGACTGGACAGCGGCAGGAAATATCACCTATAGTGGAAAAGGTCTCTGTACATTGCAGGTATTTTAGCAGGGTCCACGGGTCTGGGTAAAAAATGAGTGAACTTCTGGTGTCTCTTAGTCCTGTATCCTTCACGCGGTGAGCCGTCCTTGTTCAAAGCCACATAATACTGTCTCTCAGAGTCGGAATGTTTGTAGAGGGTTGAGGCATAGGTGTTGTACCAGTTTTCTTCAAACTGCTCTCGGAAAACGCACTCCCTCGTAAGTTTCTTCTGTGTTGGGGAGTGACGAGAAGGAGAGAAAAGGCACATGCATGAACTTTATACTTGTAATGCTTTATAGATTCCATTTCCTCCTCATCTTGCACCTCAATTTCCTGAACTTTCTTGGCTTCCTAATTTTGGCTCCCCTAAGGCTGGCTGCTGCTGACTGTAAAGTGCACCCTTGCAACATGCTTCATTTCCCATTCATTAATTCTAGAGCTAAGCCCAATATCATAAAAGCCCCAATTCAAATACCCTTGAACTTTGAGAGGGAAGGCAGCAAAATCCAACCTGAGATCTGAATCTGAATTTTGCTGTTTTAAAAATAGGCTGAACCAAAACTCAAAACCTGAACACCCCTGGAATAAGGAGTGTTTGAGATCTGTATTTGAATGTTGTAGCTTGGCTACATCTTTATTTAACACAGGGAAAGGTTCAGGCCTAAGATGGTATCGCTGTGCTTTGTATGCTGCATGATACACAGCATTAAGGGCTGCTACAAGGAGATCAGATTTTGCCTGTCACCTTAAGCACAAGACTTGTCAAACGTACAGATATGTCTAGCTGACCAGCGATTAAAAGTGGAAAAGGGTGCAGTTAATTTCAAAGGTTTAAATAACCCTGAAATGCACTTTGAACTCTCAGAGCACACAACCATATAAAATACAATAATGAAAGGACTATAATCTCTGGAAAAGCCGAAGTGTGGTCTGAGGCCATAAATGTAATGGAAAAAGGTCTTTGTGCTCAGCGGCATAGTATTGTCCTACAGCTAGGACACCAACCAATAATGGTTTGTAATGGGAACTGGGGCCCAGACCCCGGAGCATAGTGTGGCTGCTGTGTGCCCACACTGCCAGCCAAATCTTAGTCATAGGGTCAAAGGCCAGAAGGCACCACTTGATCCTTTAGTCTGAACCTCCTCTATATCACAGTCCACTATCAGCACCTGCACATTAAACCCAACAATCGAAATGTGACGAAAGTATTACAGCCCACAGGAGACTAGAGTGTTCTGTGCCCCAGGCAGAGAGTAACAGGGACTGAGGTCCCAGGGAAATGATTAAGTGAGATATACCCAGATAATCCTGGCAAGTGACTTGTACCCACTTGGTGCAGAAAGCAACCCCCTCCCCCCAAAGGTCACTGCTAATCTGACCTGGGGGAAATTCCTCCCAACGCCACACATGCTGATCAGTTAGATCTGGGGTAGTCAATTATTTTTTTGTAAAGGTCCAAATTTCTTGCTCAAGGTATAGTCAAGGTCCAGACTCCAGAGAAAATAATAATAGAAAAAATTAGTAAATAAAAAGATTTTGGGGTCCGTTCAAAAGAATGTGGCACTCCAGATTTGGCCTGCGGTCTGCCTATTTGACTACCCCTGAGTTAGACAGGGAGCAAGAAATAGCCAGCTAAGCACTTGAGAGCACGAATACTCAGTGTCACCTCAGAGCCCCGGTCCTCCCTTCCAGTGTCCTATCTCCAGCTGTGGCCATCCTGATGCTTCAGAGGAAGGAGATTTAAAAAAAACAAAAACAAAAAAAAACCTCCCAGAGTACATTGGCAGAATGCCTTCCTGACTCCTGCTGGTGGTCCACTAAAACCCTGAAGCATGAGGTTTAGGAACATAAGAGGTAAACTGGAAGTGAGCCCTAGGACTGCTGAGCCTCTGCCCCACCATCACAAGCAATCCCATCATGCAATTGCACTCATAAATTTGTCCAGCTCTCTCTTAAAACTATTTAAGTTGTTTGCCCCCACAACTCCTACTGGGAGGCTGTTCTAGTCTGGGTATGGAGCCAGTGTAATCAGCCATCGGAGGATCATCTCAGCACAGGGAAATTCTCAGGTGACACAGAGTCACTGGAGTGACTGGGACATAGGGGACATCTGCGGCCTCTCTCTCTCCCATTGATCTCTGTCTGCCATAACTGCATTTTGGGGCTTTTGGCTGCTGGCACTGACGTTAAACAACATGCAAGTGACATGCACCAAGTTGACAGCGTTGCATGGAGAGTAGTATATTGCTAACTGCAAAAGGACAGGTTAGATCTGTCACAGAAAAGATTTGCAATCAACCTTCTACATTTAGCAACATACAGATTTATTAAATGGAGAAAAAATGAAAGCACTGAGGGAGTAGATGGCTTTGATCTTTGGGGCTGTTAAATTCACACACACAAATATATGCAAGATTAGCACAGAGAAAAATGACTTCCTTACTGAACCCTTATAAAAACACTAGACTATTCTACAGCAACGTCCCAAAATATGGCCCTACCGCCAGTACAAGATATCATTTAATGGGCCTTTACTGTAGAATACTGTTATACCTTTTAATAAGGGAATCCTGGTCAAAGTGTTGACACCTCTTCCAATATTTGGTGTTTTTCTTAAAGCCCTAGCTCTTGGAATCCTATGATTTCAAGAGAATCTGTTTTCACCTTCTTTTTATTATTTTTTTTAAAGAAAGTTTCTAGTCCTTCATGATTGCACAGAAAAGCTTGCAAATGTGACCTGAGTTGTACCCTGAAGCCAAATAAAATTAATACAAAAATATTTTATGTATTATTTGTTTTAAATTCTCATGTTTTTTAACATTTGGGCTTGATGATATTGCTGTTACAGCCACCTGGCCAGTATGAAGTACATTTTCTAATGCGCAGGTCAGTGGTGGCAGAAAGGAAAATTCCAATGATATTGTACTGAAATTAACTCTTGTTACCAACTAAGATTATATGCTATTATATTGACATTTCTGTGGCATGACATTAATGGATTCTGTAGTTTGATTGGCCTGATTGTGGGACTGTCTGTTGCTTTAAAATTGCAAGTACAGCACTTCAAAGCAAAACAAGCAGAATGCAGGTTAGTTTCCTACGTTTCAATAGTACAGCTTAAGGTTCTGACACCAAGAGATGGTGAGCACCCAACTCCTACTGACTTCAATAGGAGTGGTAGTAGCTGATCTCTTTTCAGAAGCAAGCCCTACTCCTTCCTGAAGTACAATCTCACTTTCTGTTACCTGGTACAATTGTTGTTCAAATTAAAATTAAATTAATGCCAAATGGAAAACAAGAGTGACAAGAATGCAGATTTTGGGTCCCTGAGGTTGTGTGGTTTAAATTTTTCAACCAACATTTTTCTCAGTACTTATGTGCCAATAGACTCCAACAGGATCTCATAATGTTTCCCTAGACATTACCCCTGAGGGCTCTGCATATGCCTTTTACCACAAGTGTAACTGCACATTCCATCCTTCTGGGCTGTCTGCCTAATCTGTGAACATGCAGCACATCAATTGAGAGAAGAAGCTTTCTCCCTTTTGCCCTACTCTATGCATGTGTAATGCCATGAAGGACATTGATACACTATCCTCACTTCCACCAAGATGCTTACCAAAAATTAGCCATCTAAGGTGGGGTATGTTGAAGTGGAGAGGGATAGCTCAGTAGGTTGAAGCGGGGAGGGAGTGGTTTGAGCATTGGCCTGCTAAACCCAGGATTGTGAGTTCAATCCTTGAGGGGGCCATTTAAGGATCTGGGGCAAAAATTGGAGATTGGCCCTGCTTTGAGCAGGGGGTTGGACTAGATGACCTCCTGAGATCCCTTCCAACCCTGATATTCTATGACACTTGAAGGCAGCAGATAATTATTAATGTATAGGTTATAAAAGAAAAAAACCAACAACCCATACTGCCAGTAATTTGGAACCATTGAGTTGTGCTCATCACTAACCTACATAAATGTGTGATCTGATCATTGTTGCTCTCATCTTTCCTCCTTTTATTTGTTATACTCATTTGGTGCATTTTATTTCAAATTAGATAAGTCTTCAGAGCAGAGAGTATGTGCAGGGATGCAGACTAGCATAATGGGGCCCCAATCCTAATGGAGGCTTTTGCTCACTAGGATGATTTAAATGGCTCATAATAATGATGATGTGGCAGGTTTTGATTTTGAGAAACAAGGCTAAGGTTTGAGCATCACCATGTCACCCTGGATCGCCTACATTGCATATGCCCTATATATTTAGACATGCGGTTAATAGCTTATCAGTCAATTAAATATATGCAATATAGGTGAATTAATTTTACTACTAACCCTTAACTGCCTTTTTTCTGTTTAAATGTGTAAACTTAACACGTAGTTCTCTGCATTTAAATTTTGGGTTTTTTTTATTTGGAGGAGTATTTTAAAGGACGTGAGGGGGAAAAGGGGAAATTGCCTATGCACAGAAGCATTTAAATTATCTCTCTTAGGCTTTGAAGTTCACACCTCATGAAGAGAAATGGGGTTTGTGTGAGTGGTAGTGTGTGGGGGCTGGTTTTCTATGAAGGTTTGTACATCCGGATTACACCAGTTTAATGTACGGTGTGATTCTAAAGTGATTTGGTTCAATCAGTGTAAAAAGCTGGGTTGTCCTGTTTCAGTTTGAAGGCGCTTTACTTCAATTTGGGTTCAATTGATTAGGAATGGATTTAAATTACACTGAAATAAGCTCCTTTTAAACAGAAATATAAGTGTGTCCACACATGGGTTTGCATTGTTTTAACTAAACCAGTGCAAATTTGTGTGTGTAGAAAAGGCCTGAAGGGGATTTATTTTGCTTTAGGTTAAGTCAATTAGCTCAAACCAATTCCTGAACTAACACACTCTTAAACTGAAATTAAAGGCTGAAACCCTGGCCATATTGAAGTCAATGGCAATTTTGCCATTGACTTCAATCAGAGTTAGGTTATCATCTGGAGCATCCACAAAGAGATTTGCACTGGTTTAACTAATCAGTTTAAAACCCGATTTAAGTTAAAATTGATGCAGTTTTCTGATGTAGACTCAGTCTAATTTTGATGGATTGTGCTGGGTGTATTTTAGTAAGACATTTACAGTCTCGATTCTGCAGCAGCCCAGGGGCCTATTTCATCAGGCAGAGACACTACAGTATGAGAATGTCACAAAGGGGGTGGATCTTCATTAACTTCCACTAAAAGTCTTAGCTGATGTCTGTGCCAAAGGATTTTTCAATCACAGAACTTTCTATCCTTCCCTGTCTCCAAATCAGTGCTACCAAGGCCTGATTCCTCTGTAAGAACCATTTACAAGCATTGTTTGGAGGGATTTTCCAGCTATTTTGGAGTTATTGGTAAGCAAAACAAGTCTCTCGTCTTCATCAGTTTTAAACAGGCTGAAGTGATTTTCCAATGGGATGAGACCAAGCATGGAAAATGTCAGTGCCAAAGGGGCATTTTTTAGAAGGTTATGAGAACACAGGAGTTATAATGAAAGTTCCACCATAACTTTAAGTACAGCTTTCATTATTGAAAAGCTATAATATAAATGTATGCATCTGCAGACGTAAATATATATTCCTGTGTGAACCCAGATCATTCAAAGTGACACACTGTTCAGATGAGAGAACACAAACACACACCCTGATGGTGCGCTATAATTTATTGCCTGGCCTTTAGTTTATGATCACCACAATATCCCTGAATGGCAGAACCACAAGTGAGCTACACAAAGCTCCCAAACAAAGGCTAATAATAAAAGCTTTATACCCATCATGTTCTTGTCTGTTTTCTTTATCCCAAATATTTGTCAGGTTTTGTTAGAGCTGGATTGGTCTCTCTCTCTGCTTTTTTCTACTTCAACTTTGGTTGCAACTATGACAACAATGGAATAATTGATATGCGTGGAGCTACATGACATCCACAGGTGCAGTACAGAATCATTTGATTGGTTGTAACAGGCTTGCAGATGACCATGTCCTTAGGGAAGGCTGGCAGCTTATGTGGTGCCCTGTTGGACTCTCATATGGGCAGTACGCAGGCTAGCCCAGCTCTCAGAAGGCACTGTGTAAGTTTTATAGTATTACAATGATTATAAAACCTCAAACTTACCGACCCATACAGCTCTCCTCTCTCATTCATTCCGAGGTAGAGTCCTGAATCCACCCCACGGATACTAACCAGCCCCACCGCCAGGCTAATGAACTCCAAAATCCCTAAAGAAGAGGAATACAGATCATTCAGAGAACAGAACTGACACCAGGTACAAGTGACAAAAATAAATCAGCCTTCCCCTGCCTGTTGGAAGAGCTCTTTGTTTACAGGGTGTTCTATGGGCCCTGACTCTCCTCTTGCTCACACAAATGTAACCCACTGACTTGCACTCTGAAATCCTCACCTGTGAAGCATTACTATAGCCTTACAAAGTTTAACTTCCTCAGGGAGAGTAATCCTTTATTAGTAAAGTATCATTAGTTTCCTTGCCAGTCACTGCAGGACGGGACAGGTGAATATTTTGTGCCTGGTCTGATAACTGTCCTTAACATTCTGGAAGGCTCTATAGTAACAATATTTATTATCCACTGAAAGTTAGGTGGTGATGACCCCCACCATGCTTCCTGTTTGTGGACAGTCTGAGGGGACTGGCTCCGCGGAAAACCCTTTGGAGGTTTGCAGGGACGGCACAGCAAGGCTATGGACGATTTCCCTCTCTCTTAGTTCAGAGGTTGGTTATGTACTTGTGTGCGTGTGTGTGCGCAGGCATCTCAACGAATTCACTGGGAGCTATGGCATGGAAGAGAAGAGTGTGTTCACTCCCCCAGTCCAAGCTTCTGTTTAAACTGATGGGAGAGAGATTTCCACTGAGCGAACATCTCCCTCCTTCTAACCTTTCATACAGCTCTGAATCTATTACCCCAGCTCCTAGAACATCCAGCCCGGGATGAGCACACCTCCCCCACCCTGCTCACGTTACCTCACACGGCTCCTCATGTGCGTGTGCCCCGGGATTCTCAGTGCACCACGTGGGGTGAGTTCGGTCATCTGCCACCTGCTGACTTTACTGGGAGTCACGTGGCTTGAAACCCACCCCTCCAGCTGCACCTGCTTTTGACTCTTTGGAAATGTACCTTCCAGTATGTCAGGTGCATCGCTCATACAGCAAGGACGGTATGGCTAAATATAGGACAGATGTCCCACTTTCCCTCCACTCCCTCAATCGTAGGGTAGGTAACCTTCTCACTCAGCTATGCTGGCAGTTAAACTAGTGGCAACAAGGTAGACTTCCTAGTTTAACTTAAATTTTGCTCCCACAGATAAGCTGTTTTTTGGTTTTACTTCCCAGCTCGTGCCTTGACACTTGTGTGGTGTTAGAATTATTCCACCAGCAGCTATAAGACTGGTAGCTTAGTGCCCTTCTTTTACATGTGCTTGCTGTGAATGTAGTCCCAATTTAATCTCTCCACCCTACTGACTAACATACCATGGACCCGATCAAATTTCCAATAAAGTTAGCAAGAGCTGCTGGGTGTTGAGCACTTTTGGAAACCAGTCACTTATTTAGGAGCTGAAATATGGACTTCCGAGCCAAAATGTAGACTTCTGTTTTTTAAAATCTTGACCTAAATGTTCTTAATGGATTGGCACACACATTTTCTAGAGGGTTAAATCTGCAGCCATATTCCGTCTGGGAAAACCTATCCTTCCTATGACCCCAGACTCGCTTCTGCCAGTGAAGTGAGTCACCCTGTTGTGACTCTAGTACAAAAAAATGGAAGAATACAAATTGTTTCCTTACGTTCTGTGCTTTCTACAAAGGGATATGTGGCAGGATCCAGAAATTACCAGTACTTGTTTTCTAGCAAGCAGGGAGTTAACTCCTACCTTAGACAAAAGTCCCAGTCAGACAGTCTGGGGCAATACAGGGGACTCTTTAAGAACAGGCCTTTGGTACTCAGCAAGGGCGGGGGGGCTTTTTAGAAGGCCCATTGGACACAGACTGGCTTGTGCTCTAGACTGCAGAGGTTTTCTGCTCACTACTGATGTGTTTTCTGGGAGGTGGCACGGTCCAGTGAACTGGGAGTCGAGGCCTAGCTTCTATTTCTTCCTCTGCAAGTCACTAATTCTGTAACGTGGGGCAAGTTACTTAACCTCTGTTCCTTTGCAAAGTGCTTTAAGATGTCCGGGTGTAAAGGGCTATATAACTGTTAACTATTATGCTACACCATTTTGTTTTCTTATTGTACATATTGACCTCTAATCCATAAGAATCCCTTTCCTAGACGTAGAGACCATACTGAATGAGACTATTTTTATTTATTCTATTTTTTTGTTGCTGAAGCAACAAATTCAGTTCACCAATTTACAATACTTTGGGAGTTTATTGCATTTGTGTTGAGTACATTTATCCTCTTGCAGTTTCACAATCAGCAACATTTGGGATGGGACATGAGGCTAAGGGGATTAATAAATAAAAGGGTGGGGGGAGGAGTTTTAAATTGACTGGGCAAAGTCTGAATGAGAGGCTCACATAAGGGAACAGGAATATAGCACTATCTTAGAAACTAGGAGCCTCTTTCTCACCCAGTAAGATTAATTAATTTTTATTTGTGTGAGAAATGCCTGAAAATGTTTGAGAACCGTGAATCTATCTTAAGTACTTATACCACCACCACCACCCCCATTTCCATAGCATCTAAGTGCCTCATAACACCCTTGTGAGAGATGTACTATTACCCCCACTTTACAGATGGGGAAGTGAAGCACAGAAAGCCTAAGTGACTTGTCCAAGGTACAACAGGAAGACTATAACACAGCTGGGAGTTGAACCATAGTTTCCCAAGTCGTAGACTAGATCTTACGCACTAAACTCTCCTTCTCCTTTTTAAAATGGATGGGTAAACAAATACTTATCCTACTCTGGGGTAGATGTCTACCTCTATTTTTGCAGGCACTTAACTCTCTTCCGGTATACTCATGACAATCTCTTTTGACAATGTCACTTGTAATATTCTTCTTTTCTGATCATTCGAGTGGCACTTAGAGAAGTGAACCAAAGACAACTATGTTGAAATAACATTAAGAGTGTAACTTAAACCCACAAAAGTCGGGAGAGAGAGTGAAGGCTGAAAAAAATGTGGGCGGACATCCATCTTGTCCTTAACTCACTCCAATTGCTAGACAAAATTGCAGCTTTATGCCTCTGATCTCCACCAGCACAGGGAGTGGCCACTGGGGTTAGATCAAGAATTTACTTTCTAACTGTAGTGGGGTGTGTTTATGAAAGTACGTGATTTTCTTTTCCAACACTTGTCTCTTCTTTTGTTGCTTGATTATTCATTCTGCTTGCTCTTTGAGTCCCTCTACATAATATTCAGAGAGATTTGACTAGATGAAGTAAACACTAGAAGGGATGAATAATCCTTCTAGCCTCCTTTGTAATGGCCAGATCCCACTCACTGTTACATTACTAAATGAATGTTTAAGGAACTGTTCAGCTGGCTGCACCTGTCTCTTTTTGCACAACTATATCCATGTGCCTGGGTGTAGAAATATCAGATGTTGTACTGATCTCTACAAATCTAAAGCTTCAGCTAAAAACCTCAACAACTGTTTGGGAACAGGTGCACTAAAGTATGAATGTCAAAGTCTTCAGAGGAGCTTCCTCTACAGATTTCACTAGCTTCCCCTCAAAAAAAAAACAAAAAAAAACCTTCAATACAGACTTTTTAGATCTGTGCTGGGGGGAGTTCTGTTTGCTGTCCTTATTACTCTTCAGTCTAAACTTCGACAGCCGGATTCTCTTCTCAGGGCTTGTGTACACTGGAAATTTACAGCAGTGCAACTTTCTCACTCAGGGGTGTGAAAAAACACCCCCTTGAGTGCAGCAAGTTTCAGCACTGTAAAGCACCAGTGTAGACAGTCACCAGTGCTGGGAGCTACACCCCTCGTGGAGGTGGGTTTTTTTTAGAGCGCTGGGCGAGCTCTCTCCCAGCACTGCGCCGTGACCACACAAGCCACGTTAAAGCTACACTTATAGATTAGATTACCTGTAACTTTGTTGAAGTCAGTGGAGTAACACTAGTGTAAAACTGGCATAAGTCAGAAGAGAATTGATCCCTGGTTGCAAGGAGTTCCCCAGTAGGTCTAGCATTCACATAAGGAACTGGGGAACTGATATCTCCTGGGGAACTGATATCAATTCAAAATCCCTTCCAGATTTCTGCTAATCATCCATTTCTTTGGTATAGGAAAAGGTCTTGGCAGACCAGTAATAACTGAGATATGGTTTCAAATTCTTCCAGTTTCATCTATGATTCTTTAGGTAGGGCTACTAGTTTTGTGCTGACATCTGGGAACTTCTCCAACATGAGACCTAGCTTTGCTCTACAAATCCTGGAGAGTCTTTCTCCAGGATCCTGAGCTAATCCTATTCAAAGAGGAATGTGCTTCAACCTATAGGCTACAGTATTCTCCATAAATATGACCCTGTTACCGTCTTTATTTCCTATGGACATATCTCTTGAATCCCACACTAGGCCTCCCTCCCTTCGCCCCCAGAGGCTAGGAGCTCCCCATCATATTACTCTGACAGCATTTTGCTTCGTTGTCTTACTTTAAAGAAAACTTTTAAGTCTTGTACAGATTTAGACTCTGCACTTTGGGGATGGATCAACAGAGGATGGTGCAGACACAGTACACTTTTTCCTGAACCCCATCCAACATTACAAGATAGATAACAAGTCCAGTTCCACCCCTTATTCCAGCTGCAGTTGGATAGATGCCATGGCTGTGGTGTCCCGGAGTGTTATCCTTGGAGTGGATCTAATTATCTGCTTAGGAGGTCAGGGTGCATCTTCGCAGTCTATGGGTCCTGTCAAGCTAGCACCCAAATCTCAGGAGTTTCTAAATCTAGCCACATTAAACTTAGTACCCTAAAGTAAACCCCATCTTTGGCTGTAATCTAGGTCCTTCACCATGCTTTTCCCCTTCCCCAGAATTGTGTAGTGTGCCTATTTCTGTAATAATTCATTGTCTTCTGACTGGTGCATGCAAAATTCAGGAATGCATTGGTACATGAAATTCTAATGCAAACCAGACCAGTTACATTGGAATTTAAATATTCATGGCTACTGAATGCAGATGGTGAATACAGTGTGCCAGTACATTATTACTTTGCATCTCTGTTGCAGCTAAGCTCAGTCCAACTTTATCTGAACATGAGGATTCCTGTGTAATCCTCTGGGGTCTTGCCCTGCAATTATAACAAATAACTATTTATTTTACGCTGCCTTTGGGAAAACCCCGAAGGAGAAATCTGTAATATTTTATATCTGACGTCTGGTCTAGTTTACGTAGCTGGATGCTGACTAGTAAAACACTTATGGAATGCTAACGTTTCAATTTATTGCACACACACTATGATTAACTCTTAATCTTAACCTTGCAAAACTAATGAAACGTATTTGCTTGTTTTAATATGTGCAGTTTCCAAACTTTGTTTAGAGACAAATTTATTTTATCTTAAGCTTCAAAAAGTGGAACTGGGTGAGGTTCTGTCATTAGATGCTGACAGTTTATTTGTCTAAAGATGTGTAAAAAGTGAGCAGAAAAGTAGCGATAAAGTGGCAGAAGTAGATTAAAAATATACAATAGATACAAAGGACTTTCTTTCAGTTCCTCTTAATATGGAAACTCATCACATGTTGTGAGATGAAAGGGAAAAGGTATGTGTCTTTTAGGAGGTAATTAAAGAGCACTTGCCCCATGAGCCTATTACTACCTTACTCTGACCTGTGGGTTATGACTTTTTTGTTGATTTAGGCAAGGACATGCTACCTGCACCTGGTGTTTATGCAAGGTACAGTACACAGTCAGGGGTTTTGGTTTTTTTGTTTGATTCCAATGAATTCAAAATCTTTGCCTTCAAACAATAACAACAAAAATATTCATAAACTATTATTTCTCAGATAAAATGTATGAGTAACAAAGCTTAAAAGACAGAAAAGAAATCCTTTCAGTGAGGAGTTAAATTATTGCAAGCCACAAAAAGTCACAAGAATGTTTCTTGCAACCTGTTGACTGTACAATTGAGATCACCAACTTGGGACTTGTTGATAGTTTACACAGACACCTGCACCATTTGCCAAAGTAGCAGGAGTTTTTCTTAACTCTGTTCAGACTTACTGTACTTCTGTGCCTGTGGCTTGAGATGCATTTTTCAAAGATTACATAACAGTTTCATTAGAGATCTGTGAGTTTCTGTGATACTAATACAGACTCTGAAGTCTTTTCCATCTTTGCCCTGGATGCTAGGTAAATCAGCAATGTTCTGTCTATTCTCATTTCATTTTTCCTCCTCCTGAAGGTTAAGGTCACCAAATATTTTCTCAAAAAAAAAAAATCTTTCTGCCCTGCTGATTCTGCTTTGGGGACATTCTTAATGGCTATGCAAGTAACGCAAAAGAAAAGACTTTAGCCCACAAACTCTGCAAAGGCAAAAAAACCACAAGGTTTGTTTTTGTTTGTTTTCCCAGAGTGCTGTGTCTCCTTTCTTTTGCCTTTCCAGCTACGCTGAGCTTCAGAGGTCCGAAAAGAGCTGAAGTAGCCAGCAAGTTGCTTTTTTTAAAAAAATCATGTTTTTGTGCACCTGCAGAATGACTTAGCACTGGTAGAATAGGAAATTGAAAATAAAAATGCCCAAATTTCTGGGGAGTGAGCGCATTTGTTTAGAATTCTAATTATATCCATTCCAGGGATGATTTATATTAATAGTGTAATTAGTTTTGCATGTGAGACAGGCGGCTGGGCTCTTTGAACAAGTTCATAAAGAAAACAGGCAGCTTCAGAGCCATCGCGTGTATTGAGCAGAGAAAAGACACCTGTTTCTTGGATGGGGGAAGATGTGGAGACAACTCTCCCACTTGGAGGGGGGAGAAAAGGGGGTTAACCCCTCACTTTCGGAGGGGGGAGATCACAAGGATGCATTGCATCGGATTCAATGAGGAATTTTATAAAAGGTCTAAAAGAAAAAGGAATAAGCAGAGGCAAACACGTGGTTTGGAAGCTAACCAAGTTCGGGATTTTAAGGCTGTAAACAGTGTTAACAAGGTGACTCGTGGGTACTTTTCTATTCTTCTGCACGACTCCAGGGAACTTTTCCGCAAGATAAGGCGCCCTCACCTACTGTCTCACCGCCAGGAAAGGACTCGGAGCCAGGCACCGAAACCCCGAGGGATTAACCTGCCCCAAAAAAGCTTTTGCACCCTCCCCAGTTTCTCTGGCTGTGTTCAGGCAGGACAGACCTCTCCCCAGAATCCTCACTGCATCTCTCCCCCTCTTTCCTCCGCTTCCCAGTGTGGGAGTCTTGATTAGGCGTTTGAATCCGTGAACCCCAGTCGGACCAGGCAGGCAGAGAAGATTCCCTGATACGCCTGTAGCAATGCAAAGAATGCGGAGCTTGTCTTCTGCTCAAACGCAGGGGGAAGAAGTGCAAAAAGCATATTTGGCACATGCAAAAAGAATGTGGAGGCAAATGGAGGTGAACTCAGGATCCTCAACCTGCTTTGTCTGGGACTGCAGGAAACTCAGACCAGACCCTAAGCAATCAGTGGAAAAGCGAGACTAGAACACCCCGCCCTTGCATTCCCCCCCCCCCCCCCATCTCCCAGCAGCTCCCACACGTATAAGGAAAAATCAGTGATAAAGAATATAAGCTCCTTTCTTACCGAATCTGCTGTGGTCCTGCCTGGTGCCATGCACCGTGCCATTGGGGAAGATTTCCAGATGGAAGCCCGTCCTGCAGTAAAGCTGCCTCCGCCTGAGGATACCTTTAAGGTGGGCAAAGTCAGTGGGAGATCCCCTCTGGAGCCTTCCTTCAATCTGTCCCAATCTCTCATTCAAAAAACCAGGAGAATCAGCTAAAGCAACATTCCCAAGAGAGGAGGAAAATCCATGCAAATCCAAATCCAGAGATCCAAGAAAGCCCCCTATCTCAGCCATCGCAATAGCAGAGAGAGCGTGTGTGTATGTGTGAGAGAGTGAGAATAGTGAATGTCTGTGCAAACAATAAAAAATTGCTGGTCTCTTTTTAAAAATGTGTGTGTGTATTATATATAACTAACCAGCTGTGAGCTTGGCTGCCTTCAAGTAACTTCCCTACCCTCTCACAGTGTCTGATTTGAACGCCTGACCTTGCTTTGAATAAAAGTATTGTTTTTCCTTTGCATTGATCTCCTCTTGCCTTTCATAGCTGGATATGTCCAGCTATCAGATGCAAACTGCACTTTATATACATACACACTCCCCTTACATTGACATATTGGATATTTAAATGCAAGCCACACCTCACTGGCATCCCCTTTGGCTATTGCTTTTTTTTTTTTTTTCCTTTTTCTTCTTCTCTGATCCATTTGGCTTTTTTTTTTTTTAAGAGAGAGAGAGAGAAGAGGGAAAAAAGCTTCACTCCCTCTTTTATTATGAAAAAATGGCAGGAAAAGGCTACACATTGCACTGAGGCATAACAGCTTTTGGCAGGTTCTTGTAAAACTGCTGATGAAATCATGGAGCCCTGTGTATGCAACCCTACTGATACACAGACTGCACATTGCTGCTGGCTATCCAAAACACTTTGTGCGCGTGTAGCAGTTTGTCTTTCCCCTTCCTTCGGTTCAGTGTGTCTGTTTAGTTATACCAAGCATAGTACTTTCACAAAGAAACCAACTTTCCCATCCCCCATCTCCTATTTTTCACACCAACCCTGAATTAATCACAGTAAAAACCCTTTCCTATTCAGAACTCTGTCTTTCAGTCAAAGGTTTTATTTTGTGGGGCTGAGGTTGGGGTTTGGAAGGGGAATATATTTCAGACACTTTTTTTGCAACATTAGACCCATCTGTAATTTTTTGCCCTGAACAACAGACATAGTGGTAAGGGTAGTGGGGGAGGGAGGATAACATGTAAGGAGAAAACTTTAGAAGCATTTTTCAGCTAAATATGTAAAAACTGAAAGAGATCTTTTTGAAAAATGATACTTCAGATTTTATTACTTGATTTTACAAGCCACTTGAGAGAAGAATATATGGAAGGAGTTTCCAAGCCTGTTGTGGGCTTTCTCCCCACCTTTTTCATGTTGGAAACAGGTGTTTCCTAGCTCTCTCTTGCCCTGTGACACTGTATCTGTAACAGCAGCTGCTGGGCGAGCTGCAGACAGACAGAGTCAGGCACAGGGAGACATGGGGACCAGAAAATGCGTGGAAAAAAAAATTCCCCGGAGGGGAGCTTGAACCCTGCTTTGATGCAATAAAATGGACATTTTTTTCAGAGCTCCTTTCCCCTCTCCGTCCCCCCGCTGTAGCCCTTCCACCCTCACTTTCTGGGCTGCACGGGCAGACAGCAGAGGACTCCCAAAGGCAAGGCGTGTCTGTGCTCTTGACCACTAGAAGGCGCTGTCGCTTGCTGTATTGCTTGGTATCCGCGCTCCTGTCCTTCCACTTGGCCTGTGTGTGGTGAGGGGACGCGGCCGTCCCCCTCCCCGAGTCGGCTTGGAGTGGGGAGGGACAAGGCGATCTGCTCTCTACCGCCGCCCGCTGGAGAGCAGCAGGGCAGCGCTTAGAGCCAGGGGAGGCAGACAGCCTGCCATGGAGACACAGCAAAGGGGATTAGAAACAATAGTTACAGGGAGCTGAAAATGCTGGGAGATTAATGTCCCTAAAACAACCCCCCCCATCAACCAACCCCCCCCCCACTATTCAATGTCAGCTTTTCCGAGGAAAATAATTCTTTCCAATAACTCTTTGTCCTTCCTCTCCCACTGTCCAGCCAAGCCCATCACACCCCTTAACAGACATGTCTAGAACCTCCCAACATCGCTGTGAGGGGAGAGGGGCATTATCCCCATTGTATGGAGGGGTAAACCAAGGCACAAAGTGGTGCAGCGACTTACTGAAGGACAAAAAGCAAGAGGAACAGAAGCCAGGAGTCCTGATTGGCAGTCTGCTGCTCTACGCCTCCCTAGACCCGTCTTTTCTTATGTGAAATATAATAAATCACTAACAATAAAAGTGAAATAACAGCCCAAGTTTTTGTCTGGAGTGAAGGTAGAAGCAGGTTTTAAATGAGGGCTATTGTGTCCAAGAGATATGGCTGTCAGTGGATGACTGGAATTTGGGCTGATGTTAACAGTGATATTTGAAGCATAAAAGGATTTTTTTTTTTAAATCTCTTCCTGGAATTTAACAGAAATTTAACAATTGCCTTTCACTGTCTGTTCTTACATTGGAGAAATTCTCTCTTGGTGGGCAAAAAATCTGTTGGTGGATGACTGAAGAATAGACTGTACAGGGTGAAAATGGCAAAAGTCCAAGATAAAAACAAACCCTATCAAGTTAAATAATCATTAAGGTCTAATAGTGCAAACTCTACTAGGTGTAATGCTAACAGTCAACAAGATACTCACAATGGAGAACACTGTGGGTGAAATCTTGGCCCCACTGAAGTTAATAGGAGTTTTGTCATTGATTTAACTGGGGCCAGGATTTCCTCTTATGTCTGGAAGTAAGTGTTTAAAGGGTCAGGGCCTAGATGTATTAGAAAAAGGAGAGAGAGAGAGAGAGAGACTCCTTCATAATGGGCCTGATCCATACCCCACTGAAGGTAATAGGCATCTTTTTCCATGGACTTCAAGGGGCTTTGGATCAGGTCCAATATCCATCAACCAAATCCAAAGGAGGACTAGAGGGGCATTCAGGAAACTGACTAGGGGTACTAGGGTTCAATTACATTACAGTAAAATCCAGGATTTAATAAAAAACACAAACCTACATGCTTAATGTAAAACAAAAGCAGGGAAATCCCCAGCCCAGGCTGACATTCCTCTCTTAACTCTGGTGATTATGGTTAGCTTTTGCAGCGTCTGCAATACGGTCTGTAGGAAATTATATAGCCCACTACAACAATGCAGGATGTTTAGGCACAATAGGGTGAGGGGAAGGTAGCTTTCACTTCCTTTTTTATCTTTAATTTCCTGTTTTTTTGCTAAGAGGATGAAAAGAGAGTAGAGAAATTTTGTTTCCTGCAGTGTTACAAAATATATATAATTTAAATTTGTGGGTCTGGATTGACGCCTTTAAAGGAGGAACACATAGTTAGCTATTTTCCCATGTATTGTATAGAATATAATTTTGTACTAATTTATTTCTTAAAATGCAGGAGAAAATTATATACAACATGCCACAATTCAGGGGAAAACTATAATTCTATATAATACATTGCAAATATGTTATAATCCATCTAGTTTCCCCCAGGTTTATGCATTGATTAAAGTGTATATTGTCTACTGGGAGAATTAGAGTGATTACAGCCAAATTAATCTCTCTTTCTATTTACACAAGTTTGCCGCAATATTTATATTTATTTGAGCATAATGGACCTTTCAGAGCCATTACCATCTATTGTGGGAATGCACATTTAGCCCAGTAGTAAAACTCCTAATTACATTTATTTGTTTAATAATTACTGTTCATAGGCAACAGCAACATTTGATATCTCACCTACTAATTGTAAAATCAAAGGCTTTGGTGCTGCAATTGACTCTTCACAGGCGCAGGACTGCACCCATCTGCAACTAATTGCAGGACAGGGGTCAGAGTTATAAATTAGTTAGAAAAGAGTAAAATGAATAGAATAATCAAACCCTGATACTGTAGATCCTCTGCCCAAGACAATGCCATTGATAAAGGATCCAGGTAGGGTTGCCAGTTTTGGTTAGATCTGTTCCTAGAGATTTTATCACATGACATAATCTTTAATTCCTGGAGACTCCAGGCCAATCCTGGAGGGTTGGCAACCCTACCTAGGCCTGGATAAAAATTTTTTAATAGCATTGATAGCTATGGTCACATACAAGAAATCAGCTATATGAGGAACAAGACAATTTAGAGAATAAGGAAACATCATGGAGACCCTTTTCACTGTATTATAATAATACATTCTCTTCTCCAGCACCACCCATCCAAGGATCTTAGTGCACTGTACACATTTTTCTGAATTAAGACTCACAACCCCATTCTGTGAGGTAGTGAATAAACAGATTTTTTAATGGGGAGATTTTATTAAATCCTTTAATTGACTGTGATTCAATTTGTTGTTTAATTTATGAGTGTAATTATTGTGGTAGCATTTAAAAGCTCCAATCTCAAATGAGGACTCTATTGTGCTAGGTCCTCTACAAACACAAAACAAAAATACAGCCCCTGCCACAAGGAATCCTGGGGACTTTACTTGGGGAAGGAGTCCTATTGATGTACATGACATGAACAAGGTGAGTACCTCATATTTTATTTAATTATGGTTAGAGTAGGTGGCGGAGCCAGGAATAGAATCCAATGCTAAACCTGTCACATTTGGGTGCCTAAGTTTAGGAGACAAATCTGTAACTAGGCACCTAATTAAGTGGGCTGATTTTCACAGGTGATGAGCGCCCACACTCTCATTTATTTAGGCACCCAGAAATGGATAAGTTTTAAAATAGTGGCATTAACATTTAGGAAACTCAACTCGCCAGGTAGCACAGCTCATTCAGAAGCCATGATATTATTATTTCCCCTGTGAAGAGGAATTATTGCTACCTGGTGACTAGGAAATCTACATCCTCCTGAAGGAGGTATTCTATGAATGACAGCTCCTTCTTAGTTCCACTCTATTTGGGAGTTGCAAGTGCTCAGCACCTCTGAAAATCAGGCTTCTTAGGTGGGTAAATGTGGATTTAAAAATCTGGCTTGAGGCACTCAAGCTAATATACCTCAGGAGCCTAAAGGACTTTGATCTGTATATCCAAACTCCCCTGCTCCAACCCCTTGATAATTAGTGTGGTATGAGAATCTCAATCAGGAAAGGGACATGCTTCTTTACTCACGGAGAGCACTGCATGTTACAGTGGGCTCCATTTCTAAGTGTTTTAGTGCTATCCGTGTTAGAATAACATGAGCCTTGATAATTCAAGTAACAGACTGCCTTTTGTGTAAATAGGCCAGGCTTGTCTACACTGGGAAATTTACTGATATAATTATACCACTATAGTTATGCTGGAAAATTTCCCCATGTAGACAAGCCCACAGTAAAAGTGTGACCCCTTTGTTCTAGTATCTGAATTATGGAAGTGAAGAGGAGTTGAATAAACATGCAGAGCTCTGTTGCTTAAAGGCGTTTAAAAATGTGATTTAGCACTTTGATATGTCCTGACTTTGGAGACTTGTGTAGGATCTTTCTACCTGCCAGTGGCCTGAGTTCAGAAGCTGGTGATATTATTAAAGAAAAAACTGTATCTTCTTTCCTCGTTGTACAAGATTGGATGCAGGCTGGTAACTATTTCCTGGTAGAATATGTGCACTGGCTTTTATGCTCTGACAAAGGAGAAAATTTATTTTCTATGCTTTCCCTCTGTATGTAACTCACATATCTACCTACTATGAGTTTATCGCATAATACCAGGCCAATGTAGCTGTGGTTCATTGTTAACTTGCTCAACCTGGGGTAGTGTTGGTGGATGGTAGGAGTGTAGTGTCCTGGTAAAATCCCCTCCAGTTTCTTGACCAAGCCTAGTAACAACTAAGAAGGGAGAGCCTCAAATAATCCATTCTAGTAGGGTGTCTCA